AGTGACGTTTGTTCACTTGTTCCCTACGGTTTACAACCGCTTTTACCACACATTTGTATTCGATCCGACAAATAATGATTACTAGCAAGGGGAGCAACACCCGGGTGAAGTTTTCTCAATTAGTGTTCAAAACCATTTACTTTTCCAATCGCTTTAGTTATAAAACATAGTTTTATTCCAAACCCATTTGCTAGATAATGTTTCAAACAATTGAAGTAGCGGAACAGGGACGGGCCCCGGTTTGACTTTTAAAACATACTTGCCCTATATTGTACCCGGTTAAGGTTTATACTTGGGCCTTAATCGAGATTTTATTGTGATATTCGGGTGAGTCATGGCTCGTCTCTTGCTTCGGATGAGTCTGCATCGTCCAAAGCTAAGTCTAATTGGGCTATTTCCAATGCCCAAGTTATTACTTTTCTATTTTCTTCTGTTGAGATGGGGGTGTAATTGAGTTTGAGGAGCTTTACGACTGCTCATGCTATGTGGAAGCATCTTCATGGCATTCATTCACAGGTCGATGCGTCCCAGAAGTTTGAACTTGAGTGTTCAATTGCGTCTCTGTAATAAGAAGATATGGATGTGCGCACGTACTACCAGGAGGCTCTCAATCTTTGGTCGGAGCATGATATGATTACCTCGTCCATGCACTCTATGGCTACCTCTGCTGAAGTTCTGAAGGAGCATGCTGGCTCTCCCCTGATGTACTTTCTCATGCGCCTTAACCCGGCGTTTGAGGGTATTCGTTCCTCTATGCTCCATCGCAATGTCGGCACGATTGAGGCGGTGTTACCTAGCAGTGTGTTTGAGGCCACTCGAGGTTGTCCTCAATTTGGTCGCACACTTCTGGCGAGATTATTTGTCATCATTGTAAAGATTCTAGGCATATTCAACTTCGGTGTCCCAAGCGTCATGCCTGTAAGTACTGTAAGGCGATAGGCCATGTTATCAGCGACTATCCCATTCTTGCTTAGCGAGGACGTGGTCGTGATGGCCATTCTGGTGGTGGGCTATCAGTTGGGTCTTCATCGGGCTTCGGGGGCTATCGCCCTGCTATTGGTCGCTCATCCTCCGGTGTAGCGTATACCACCACCATAGCTCCAGCTGCCATTCATGGGTCGTCGGGTGTATCCTCCGTTGTGATTCGTTGCTTGGTTTGGAAGGCCCTCCAGGTGTCTGTCCCTTCAACTCTCACCACTTCCTTCTCTATGGGTACAGTTTCTAAACTCCTACACTGTAGCATCTTGACTCAGCTGCGGTGAATGACATGTCTAGTGCTCAGTCTGTGTTCACTTCTATTCGGCTGCAGTTTAGTATTCATTTACAGGTTGCGAATGGTTCGCATATTTCTATTGAGGGTATTGGTCATGTTCAGGATTCTCGGTTATCTCTTCCTCATACATTCTATGTTCCGGAACTTTTGCCTAACTTGATATCAGTGGGGAAATTAGTTGATGAATGGTATCGTGTCATCTTTGATGCTCATGGTTGCGTTGTGAAAGACATTAAGGAAGGCTGGGGAGGTGATAGGCCGAGGGAGTAAGCAGGGTTGGATTTACCTCCTTGATAGCTACGAGCAACCGCTGGTGTATCGTGCTCACCGGGATGGGGATCATAGTGGTACTTCTTGGGCCGTCGAGGTTGCTGGTCGTGCAGCTGCTAGTCGCACGGATCAAAGGAGGAGTTTTAGTTCAGTGGATGATGTTTTGCAGTCATATTCTTTCGTAGAAAATTCTGGATATTCTGTTAAGTTATAAAACTGGGATTTATGGTATTTTCGTCTTGGCCATCCACATAAAACTCGGCTTTTTGAGATGTTTAAGAGAAATTCGTTGTCCAGCATGATTCGTTTTATTCCTTATCATGAGTTTGTCCATTGTGTCAAGGCTAAAATTTCTCAAAAATCTTTCTCTCTTAGCTTGACTGAATGTGCAGAACAATTTTATCTTGTGCACATTGATCTGTGGGGGCCATCCCCAACGACAGCACGCCTGGGTTTTGGGTATATTTCCTCAAACAAAAGTCTAAACTGTTTGACGTGGCTCGTGACTTCATTTAGATGGTGTCCACACAGTTTGGAAATGTTATTAAGATTTTACGGTCTGATCCCGGTAGAGAGTTATCTTCTCATCCTTTACATGCGTTATTCCGTGAGAAGGGTATTCTTCCACAACAATCCTACCCTGGTGTTACTCAACATAATAGGCTGGTTGAGAGAAAGCATCGTCATGTTCTAGAGGTGACTCTAGGCTTCCTATTTCACTCGTATGTTCCTGCCCAATTTAGGGTTGAAGCGATTCACTCGTATGTTCTAGCTAACTAAAGCCCTCCTATCACCTCAGTTCTTGGCCAACACAATCCGTTTCAAGATCACTACTCTCATCCTCCCAACTATGCATGGCTTCTCGTCTTTGGTTGTGTCTTCTATGTTTCATTATCTCGACCGAAACGCCACAAGTTATCTCCCAAGGCAGCGAGGTGCATATTTCTGGGTTATAGGGGCAAAAATAAGGGCTATGCTTGTTACGATGTTGCAGCTCGACATCTCGTGCCACGTTGTCTTCTTAGAGCATGAGTTCTACTATGCTTCGGCTGATTCTACTTAGAGTTCCCACCTTGACTTCCTCACATCTATTCCTAGTTTTCCTTCACTTCCCATTGCTGCTAATGACGATGGTCCGCCAACTCTTCCCTCGACAGCTGTATCTAACTCCATGTCCTCCTCTACTTCGTCCACAAGTGAGACGTCCTCATCTGAGTCTTCAGGTGATTCATCATATGACTCCTGGACAGCAAGTGCGGACTCCGAGCCTTTTTTATGGATGTCTACGTCAGCGACGCGTGGACAGGCTCTTGCTTGCGACTCTGACTTCGTTTCCTTCTCCACTATGGCGCCTGTCTTTTTCTAGCTACATATAGAATGCAATGACCACTGCGGTTGATGCACTTGAAGCCCAACATACTTGGGATCTTGTGCCCCGGCATCCTGAGATGCTCATGATCGACTTCAAGTGGGTTTATTCCATCAAGAGTAGCATAAAGCAAGGGTGGTCGCGCAAGGGTTCAAACAACATTATGGCGTGGACTACGATGAGACATTTGTCCCTGTTGTCAAGATGCAAACTATTCGTAGTCTATTTGTTCTTGCCTCCATGAAAGGTTGAAAGTTGGTCCAACTGGATGTCAAGAATGCCTTCTTACACGGTGACTTGAAGGAAACCATTTATATGGAACGTCCTCCAGACTATACTAAAGGCTACAGCTCCATGGTATGCTTGCTACGACGTTTTTTGTATGGCCATAAACAGGCGCCTAGGGCGTGGTTTGAGATACTCGAGAGTACGATTCTGCATGCTGGTTTTGTTAAGAGTGACAATAATCCATCCCTTTTTCTTCGTAATACAACATGTGGTCTTACTGTTGTGTTGATATATGTTGATGATATGGTGCTGAGCAGGAATGATCAGGAAGGAATTGAGTCTCTCACTGCGACATTACGTGAGGCCTTTAATCTTAAGGAGCTTGGCGACTTATCATATTTTTGTCCTGGAGATTGATCGATCAGCTACAGGTATTCATGTGAGTCAACGTAAGTATGTTGAGGATCTATTGGAAGAAGCTCATATGGATGTCTGTGATCAGAGTGGTACTCCTATGGAACAGAACTTAAAGCTGCGTCAATCTGATGGGGATTTGCTGGATAATGGTACGAGCTATCGTAGCATTGTTGGGAGTCTCATATATCTGATTAATACTCGTCTTGAAATCGCCTATGCAGTTTAAGTTGTAGTCTATATATGGCGGCTCCTCGTACGTTTCATTCAATTGTTGTTCAGCAGATTCTCCGATATCTCAGGGGTACGCTGGATGTGGGGCTCTTCTTTCCTGCTGGTGGCGACCCAATCACGACAACATATGTTGATGCTGATTATGCTGGTTGCTCGGATACTCGTCGTTCGACCTCCAGTTGGTGTTTGAAAGTTGAGCATTCTTTTGTCTCGTTGCGTTGTAAGAAACAAGACAGAATTTCCAAATCCTCCACCGAGACAGAGTATCGGTCTGTGAGTGAAGTCACGTCGGAGCTGGTGTAGTTGCGGCATTTATTGGCCGAATTGGGGGTTTCCTGCACTGCACCTACTCGCCTTTTTGCTGATAACTCGAGCGCCATCAAGATTGCTACCAACCCAGTACTTCATGATCGTATGAAACATATTGAGGTACATGTCAATTATATTCGTCAGTTGGTTATGGATGGCGTTATTGATCTTTCGTACATTCCTTCTGTGGATGAGCCGACGGATCTCCTCACCAAGGCGGTGGCTTCAGCTCGTTACTTGTTTATAGCACAAAAATTGATGCTGCATCATCACCATTAATTTGAGAGAGGGTGTTAGAAACTGTAGTAGTTTGGGTATTGTTTTGTAATTGTCCTTGCACATATTATGTAAAACATTGGTTGTAGGGTTTGGGATGCTCGATCATATATAAAGCCATTCGATGGCTACATGTAGTTAGGTTGTGAAGACAACTGAATAAGAGAACCGATTGCCTTGTGTCGTGGACTAAACCACGTGAATCTTGTATTCTGTGTTCATTTATGATTCTAGATTGCTTGGAAATTGACACGACCCCGAATGAGGTCTGCTATGGTATTCTCGAAGACATATAATGGAGATCCTCGTAAAAGGCCTGGAGGGCTCAAGTAGGTGAACTTCAGGTTAGATTTCGCTCCAACATCACTCTAGCTGTGTGCGTGGGGATGTTACTCGGTTATAAAAAAAAAAAAAAAGACAAGGACCCACACGGAAGAGAGAAGCCGTGTTACGTTCGGTGAGATAATAATTAATAAAGAAAAAAAGACTACCCAATGTGAATATCAGCTGCGTGAGGGGCAGGCTGGAGGAAGCAAGTAAATGCCAAGAAATTTCCTGTCGGAGCTCTAGAGCTCTATTTATTCACCGATCCACCGGTGTCATAGTTGTAGATCTCTAGCTAGCAATATGCAATCTCCATCGAAGGAAAATCCCGACCTCCCTGCGGTACCACCGCCGCCATCAGATTCCCGTCCAGCGAAAGAGGTTGCCCGTGGTCAGTCAATGGAGAAAGTTGACCTGCCATTAAAAGGGTCCGGTACTGCTAGGAAAAGCAGAACAGCGGCACTGGCAGTGATCTACGCCGCAATGACTTCTCTGTGGGTGTTAAGCAGCATGTATCTGCATCCGGCGGTACAGCGCCTGCCTCCGCCGCCGCCCCCGTGGCGGTACCACGCCTTCCTCAACTTCCGGGGGCTGGACGTCCGCCACTCCTTCTCCGACCACCTCTACTCGGCGCTGAAGCGGAGCGGGGTCAGGGCTTTCCGCGACGACAAGGACATGCCACGGGGCGCCAACATCTCGGAGACGCTCCTCGCGGCGATCGAGGCCTCGATGATCTCCGTCGTGCTGCTGTCGAGCAACTACGCCTCGTCGCCGTCGTGTCTCGACGAGCTGGTGTGGTGACCATCTTGCGGTGCAGGCACAAGATGGCCCACCGCCCGCTCCCGGTGTTCTACCAGGTGTCGCCGGACGACGTGCAGGACCTGTCCGGGCCGTTCAAGCGCGACTTCGACGATCACAAGGACATCTACACGTACAACAGAGTCGACGGCTGGATCAAAGCTATGCAGGCGGTTGCGGATTTAGCAGGCTGGCATCTCGAGCGCCATAGGTATGCTCTCTTTCTCTCCAAATGAATTAATTAAATATTTAATGAGACAAGGCCTAACTAATCTAATTAAGAAAATTAGCTGGATCAAGTTTCAAATGGTCATCACCCTATTCAATAAGCTAATGCAAGTGTTGCATTGTGATATCAACCAATTGTTGCAGTGTACCATTTCAATAATTCATTTTAGCAGATTGTTTAAGTTGACGAAACTTCTTACCGTCTTAGTCGTTGTTTATATACAAGTTATTGTGAAAAAGGACAAAAGACAGCTCATCGTCAAATGTTTGGCAGTTAAGGTAAGGATGAAAGTAATATATATTTTCCATGAATAATCATACTGAATTGTTTATTATATATAAAACACAAAAATTGTAGCTCTTACAAACGAAAACATCGTACACATAGTTAGAATAAATGTATTCGTTGCGTAAATCTTTTCATTTATTAAAAAATAATATATAAAATAAATAATTTTATACTTTTTTTATGATTTTTTTTTTTGATAAAGGTGAAATAAATTAATTAAAGGGGAAACAATGAAACGTACAATTATGATTATTAGCGTGCTATTAAACATATCATTAGTTTAGAGACAAAATAAAATACTTGTACTTATTTTATACATAACCCGTAACGTATTTTAATAACAATAATTGTGAACACATATTAACTTCAAATTGCCCTGCGCACATGCAGTTCTGAAGCAGAGGCGGTAGAGACAATAGTGAGCCGGGTAGTGGAAGCAATTCATTCATCGATAAAGGAGCGTCAACTCCAAACATCCTCACCTACTGAAGGTACGCACAAATTGAATTCAGAACAATCGCATGCTGCTCATAGAAGTTGATTCTCAATGCGACGTTCCTTTCTCTTTTGTTTATGAAGATGGAAAGGTCATCGCCAGCGTCCGCAAGGTACTGACCTCCGATTTTATCCGGGAGCTAGTCACGAGGAAACCAGGTGAAGGACAGATGTGTAAACGTTGATTAGAGTGGCTGGGGTGATGATGATGACTTCCACGAGTTCACGAGTCACTCGACGTTGAGTCATTTTTTCTTCTTCTTCCTATTTAGGTTTGCTGTTGAAGGCGAAAGCTAGCTTAGTAGAGGACCTAGTAATTGGTAACCTAGTTCTAAGTTATGATGGGAATATAAGACATTTCGTCAATCGCGATTATTAGAACAAGATATGGTGCAAACCATGCATATATAGAGGTTGTTACCATGCAAACCATACGATGATGTATGTTCTCAATATATAAGGTGGCAATCCATAATTAGCCACTCGAGTCCTAGTTGACGTTGTATGCGGGGTCTTGTTATATATTGTCATGAATGCGGAGTCCTAATTAACCCAAATAGTTACCTAAAAGCAAAATGTTATTCATTAAATTTAATTCTGGAACTAAGAATTTTCATCATAAAATAACCACGAGTCTTAATATACCAAGTATGCACTCTAATACTACTACTAATATCAACCTAGATATCTCACGTTCAAGTCCTAACTTCCCCTGACCCCACATACCCCCTTCAGTGGCATCAGGCATGTAACAAATAAGAAACTATCCCTAAAATCATATAATTAAATACCAATATTCACGCTTTAACACAAGTTGACATATCAGAAATAAAATTGGAACTTATGTTAATAACTTTACCTTTCCTTTTCAAAATTGTAGTCCTTAAAAAGTTAACAAAATGAAAAAAAAAATTTCATTACGTTTGGATAATGGAGCACAAAGATATGGCCGTCCAAAGTTTGACGAAATCGGAAAAAAGCGTTCGGGTAGCAAACGACGTTTTTTCGGGACGAAGGTGGGACCAAACCGCCTACGGCTGTTTGCGGCTTGCAAGATGTCGAAAAGTTATGGGAAATCAAAAAAAATTTCGCTATGATCGGATACCGAGCACAAAGATACGTTCGTTTGAAATTTCCACCTAGGTTAGGAATAATAAAAAAAACAGGGTCAAACCGCTGAGTGTGGCAGCGGTTTTGAACCAAGAGTGTTTAGTGTTCCATGGAAGAATCTCATTTGCTAACTCCTAAACTTAATGAAAAGAAAATGTGAACCACAAGCACGGGAGATTAATTCAGAAGTATTAATTCCACTGACAACCGTGTACTGTACACCAAGACACAATTCACTATTCATACAGACTTAATTTTCTTGTTCACTGCCTCCTGATTGGCCGAGCCTCTGTCCGGGGCCTGTCTTCCTTCAGCCCACCAATTGGGCGGCGCGTGTCTCTCCTGCCCGTCGTTTGCCCATGCAATGGAGCGCTGGGTTTCGCGGGGTTTCCTCGCGGTGGAGACGCGTCGGCCTCAAGTGGAGCCGGTCCCCACTCAAGGCCCCCACTCCCGCTCATAGCTCCCATGTTCTACTCTTTTGTTCCTCACGACCTCACCTTTTTCTCTTGCCAGTTGATGTGACCAGTGCCATCATTTGATTTCCACTGTTTAGTGGCGTCGGCCGAGGGAAAAGGAAGGAAAAACAAAATCGAGTAGGAGTAGAAGGAAGTCTTGGCCGCTTCTATCCAATCAAGGCATGGGAAGGAGAGAGGATGAGATGATGGTTTGGCGGTGAAGTGATAGCCATACGGAAAGGATCAGAGACCCATAGCATTGCACTCCCTAATCCAAAAATTTCCCTTCCTCCTTCTTCTCTATATTCTGCACTATCCACAAATCAAAACTGAGTCTCTCTCCAATTTACATGATCCTCATCTTCCGCATCTCTCTCTCTCTTTCTTCTCTCCCTACTTTCTCTGAACTTTTACGATGAGAAGAGCCGCCTAAGAACCAGCAAGAATCCGTCGGAGGAACCTCTGCTCCTTTACCTGCTAACGATCAACGAGAAGCTACCAGTTGAAGCCGAGGAAATCATGAGATCCCGGTGATTTTTGAATCTCTAAGCTTTCATTTCATTTTTCTCTTCTATTTCGCATCAGTGGTAGCCTCATTCGCTGTCTCCTCTCTTTAGGGATAGCCGGGAGTGGGGGAGATGCTTGCTTGGTGTTTTCACGATGGGTCGATGTTGGAATGATGGTGCTCCGATTCTGGTGGCTACGGTTAAGGCAGTGGCCACAAGAATCATGTCAAGAGAGGTGGGGAACCCCTGAGCGATACGGCGACCAAATCTATTTGTTCCAGCGACCAGATCGGTTTTGAGCGTCCCTCACCGACGAAGAGAAGATCCGAAGATGGTCCCTCTTTCTCTTTCTCTTTCTCTTTCTCTCTCTTTCTATCTCTCTCTCTCTCTCTCTCTCTCTCATATTTGAGGTGAGGTAGTTGTGAGCGAACAGGGAATCGTCGCTAACCCACCGGTTGTGAGGATCCCTCTCCAATGAAGCGGAGATCAGAAAATGGTCCCTCGTGCAGATCTGCCCAAAAGCTCTGATCAATTCGTTTCGTTCTCCGATGAAGAGCCCTCAACAGTGATTAGCCCCAGCCAGCGGATTCCGCAAGAGAGGGAAAACCAGAGAATGGTTAGATCTCTTTGCTCTGTTTGTTCTTCTCTGCTTCCTGTTCAACTCCCTAATCGACTACTCACTTTCTCCTTGGTTTTCCTTTTCTGGCCGAGGGACAACACAACTTGGTCACCAAGGGACTAAAAAAGGCTCTGGTTAATCTTTTGGGGAGAGGACTCTAGGAGTAAACATAAAAGGCGTTGGTGAGTATCTCTTGCTTGCCCTGCCGTCTGAAGGTAAAAAGTCGATGTTCATTGTTTTGCTTCATCTCTATCTTATGTTATGATTAGATGCATCTTTTCTTAATTGTGTTCTCTGGTTTCTCTTCCCTAGTTCTACACTCTCACATGTTTTTTGCCAACGAGGTCTCCTGGCTAAAGAAGGAGGAGAAAGAAGACCAGAGAAGTTGGAGTAAGCAAGAAGCTCGCAATAGAGGTTGGCTCGGGAATGAAGCACTTCTGAGAGCTCGGGCGGAAAGAGAAAAACGAAAGAAGGAGAGGCCTGAAGAATCCATCCGTCGAGATCAGGAGGGTAATTGAGGTGACTGATGAGAGGTTGACAAAATCCCACCACCTTGATCTCTGGTCTCTCTCTCTACCTCCCTCCCTCACTCTCTATTTCTCCAAACTCCTAATGATCGATCCCTTATTTGCATATTTTATCTTTTGGATCAATCAACGGATTTGAGAGATATAGATCGGGATTGGAGATTTGTATTTTCATATATTTCTTGAGGTGATTGATCTCTCCGTGATGACTTTGAATTCTCGTTAATCTTATATGGTTTACTCCCTCTCTCTTTAATCAAAAGTCTCTGTTTGGTATCTTAACCAGGGAGATGCCGGTGAACATTTGTTGTCATAGTACACGGTGAACAAAGATTTTGCAAGAGGAAAGCAAGCCTGACTTTTCTTTAAGTTTCTGGTGCCACCCTATTTGAGCATATTGAAACCAAATTAAACCAAAATTTGTATCATGGAGTCTTAGATTTTTTCTACTGAGGTTTATAGTTTAAAGCGGGCTAATTGTCTTGCGTGCTCTTATCTATTCTATGCTCCATCTTCCAGTTTTGTAGCAAACTAAGTGAGGGAATTGTAAGATCAAGGGGTGATCTTTTGATCTTCAGTTTTTCGGTCTTTTGGGTTCCAAAATTGTGTACAATGCTTTCCTAAATTTTAATTTTGCCCCTGCTTCTTTGTCAGGTTATGATCGAGCCACTGAATCTTCTGAGTGTTTTGCTCTCTTGCTTTATGTACCTGATTTTGGCTACGAGTTCTCGGATCAAAATATGGTGGTGTCTTCGGTGCACTCACTTTTTTGGGTTCATTCAGTGCACCCGCTTCATAACCGTCATTATAAACATGCGATTTATGTCAAAAGGATGTCAATCATCACTTATGATGTGATGAACAATAACACACATGAATTTTCACAAAAACCATTGAAGATTTACTTTAATTTGAAGGATTTAGAGTTTAGAGATTTAGGGTTATGGTTTACAATTTGGGGTTTAGGGATAGAACTCAAAGTTGGAGGTCTAGGGCTTAGGGTAATCCGCTAATTAGTTGTTATCATACGTTATATCATCATATTACACTAATTCTACAAATTAAAATTCAAAATCAGACACCTTAAGCGTAGTTTTTTAGTTGGGTGCATTGATCGCACTCATTTTTGTTACTGCACCGAAGTAGTCACCATATATATATATATATATATATATATATATATATATATATGTACAGTTGTTTCTTCACAGCTCAAATGGCAACTCCAGTTTTGCAAGATCAGTGCTTGGCTCAAGAAGTTTACGCATGACTCATACGAAACTATCTTGGTCATGCAGATCAATGTTGGGGTCTAGGAAAGCATGCTAAGGTAGCTTGCCCTTTTGTGTTTTTTTTTTTATCGCTTTGGGTTTGTTTATTGATTTTGTTTCTCTTTTATTGGTATTCAGTTGCTTGGCAAGACTGCAGTTTCCATTTTAATTAAGAATACAATGAGTTTATTTTGATTTCTTTTCAGATAAGCTTTTGTATGATGAGAACGATAGTAGGTAGTTCTCTGATCCGACGTTGTTGAGTGTGGTGTGGACAACAACAGTCCCAAGAGAGACTAGGAGAATGGTCGAAAGGTGATTTGGAGATTGGTATTTCTCTGTAGCTCTCTGTTTCTCTTAACCTCTTTTACTTCCTTTGCCTTATCTTTGCAAGCCAATTCTAGATTCTTTTGTTTTCCTTGGTGTGTGTAGACTGTTGACCAACATGAAAGTTAAATATATACTGCTATTATGGTTTTGGTATTGCAGTGTGTGCATGAAGAAAACAATAGTGTGGCATGAAGGAAGGTATGTTTAGATTTTCTTTTGGCAGTTTCCAGGATAAAACCTCCTGTCCCAAACTCGCGGTCGCGGTGATGGAATTGTTGGTCGCTGAGTTCCTTTATATGTCACTATTGTCTCAGTTTCGTTCTACATTTTTTGTATTATTGATGATGGGTTTATCGAAAATGGTGGA